CCAGAGTTGGCAACTGCATAGCCCCAAATTAACATAAGTCAAACTCCAGGCGGCACCTGGAGATCTCCAGCTATTAAAACTGATGTCCAGATGACCAAGATCAGTTTGGAGACAATGGCTGCTTTGGGCAATGGACTCTATGCATTATACCCTACTGAAGTCCCTCCACACCCCAAACCCTCCCTTCCCCAGGCTCTACCCCTCAAATTTACAGGTATTTCCCAACCCAGAGTTGGCAACCATGTAATTGCCTATGGAACCACTTTCCAGACCCTTGGAACCCAGAAAACATGGCATAGGAGGAAGTGCTTTTCTACCTTAGCTGCCACTGCATAACAACCCCCCCCCCCAAAAAAAAAGTCAGGGGTGGAGGAAACCATACCTGTTACCATGAGGCTGTCCTCCCATACTACCCACTTGAGGCAGCAAAATGACTTAAGACAGCCCTGCCTTATAGCTAAGCAGAAGGAAATAAACATGGCTTGCCTCTCTCTATTTTCCCTTTCCCTCTGCTGCCCCACCAGCCACAGCTGGGACACTCACCTGGAGCTTCCTTCTAGAGCTCGTTGTATTTCTTCCTGGTATAATATATTATCTGTGTAATAACTGTTGATGGATGCTGCCCCCCCCCCCCAAATCTCTAATCAGAATGGGCTGGACTAATTTGTTTTTCAAAACATTGGAAAATAATACTTACTGTTCCTAAACCTATTGCAGAGTTCGTACCTTTGTCACATACTTGACAATCTCTCTGAATGTCTCCAGCTCTTTGTGAACCCTTGCACCTTGGCCTACTGTTTTCTTACCTATCCCAAAATTTAATTGATATCATTAGCCTCGACAAACATATCATATAGGAGGCTTCTCTTTTTGGTTGGCCTTTTACTCCTGTTTTATGCAAAAGAAGTACCTGATCTCCGCAACTGAGATTGTATGCATGGAGACAGAAAGATTTCTGTTTCTCCATAGCAAAAATGACAGAGGAGGTGAGGCATACTGAAGCGGAAAGAAACTGGAAACTGTTTTTTTCTTTACGAGCACATCTCCTAATGTTGATTCTAATCAATGCCTATACAAATGTTTGTCATGGCTACATATTGTAAAAGAAGCAACATCTGGAATCGTGAGGATAAGTTACCTAAAAATAAGCAAGGTAGATACTTTGGTTTCTCAAGCATGGGCAGATCTGTGGATACTTAAATCTGTGGATCAGGCCCACACTGACAGAAATTAGATTTTTCTCCAACCGTGGGGAAAATCCCAGATTTGCAAAAAAGCTGATTCTGTAAAACAATTAGAGGGGGTTAAATCCCCCCCAAGCTATACCACTGTCTGCACATGCACAGACAATGGATTTACTTCCTTTCTGCAATGGTGGCCTCTGAGGGCTGCTTTGGGCCTGCCCTCAATGGTGACAGCCTGAGAAAGCCACTCTGGGTCCACCTTTGGTGGTGGCAGCAGCCACCCAGATCCATGCTAGGCCTGACCACAGCAGCCTGCGAGAGCCGTGCTGTGTCTGGACATGACAGCCTGCAAGAGTCGTGCTGGGCCTGGGTGGCATGCAAGAGCCATGCCGGGTGCAATGGCCTGCAAGATCTACACTGAGCCTGAACGCAACACAGCAGCCTGTGAGAGGCACTTCAGTACCATACATGCTGGCAGCAAGGGAGCTGTGCTGGGACCGAAGTCAATGCTGCACACCCTGCCACAGTATGAGGAGAGCAGAAGTTGTTGCTACACCCCCCCCCCCCCCCACCGCCACACTGCCACTGGCAAAGATGCAAGTAGCCGGTTGAGGAGCCGTCATTGCACCCCGACGCATACAACACTGGAATAGTGTGTGGAAATCCCCCCTCCCCACAGAGCTGGCAAAGCTGTAAGGTGTGTTTGCAAGAGTCACTGCTTCCCTGGCACTACTGACCTGGCAAAGCTAGAGTCTTGGGGGGGGGGCGAACCACAGAATTAGTAGCTTCTCCCATACCAATCAGGCAAAACTTCTTGGGGGGGGGGCGAACCAACCCCCCTCCCCCAAGCTGGCACTACTGACCTGGCAAAGCTAGAGTCTTGGGGGGGGGGCGAACCACAGAATTAGTAGCTTCTCCCATACCAATCAGGCAAAACTTTAGGTGGGAAGAGTTGTAACCCCCCCCCCCAAGCTGACAACAGAGGAGGGGTTGACAGCCAGGGGCTGGGGGTGAGTGACTTAAGTAGTGGTGTTGAAAGAAAGAGGGGATGGGTGTCAGAAAAGTTATGGGGGAGATAAAATACAGACAAGGGGAATGGGATGCTCCATCCCTGCAAGTTCCTTGTGGGTCTCCACTTGTGTCTATTCTTAACATGACCCCAGCATGCAGACCAAAAATATGCAAATAGTAGTTAGCCAGTGATAGGGAAATATTTCTGTAAACCTGGGGAAAACCCCACTGTTGCAGAAATATCTAAACAAATAAGGATTTTTTAAAAACATACCAATCTTCTGAAACGATGTCTGCACTTGATATCTCAAATCAGTCAACTTGTTTGTTCTTCAGTATGTGGGACGTGGATTTTCTGCTACATATCAGTTTGTGTGTGTATGTAAGTTGTAGAGGTTTGTGTGGTTTGGCTTTCCAAAAGGAAGTGTTTTAAGAACATAGGAGCCCTGCTGGATCAGACCAGTGGTCTATCTGGTCCAACATCCTGTCTCACACAGAGGCCAAAGAGTTCCTCTGGAGGGTCAATTACATGGCATAGAGGCCAAGGCTTTCCCATGATGTTGCCTCCTGGCACTGGTATACAGAGGCTTACTGCCCTTGAATGAGGAGATTTCCCTTTAGTTACCATGGCTAGTGCCACTGATAGATCTCTCTTGCATAAGTTAGTACATGCACTGGTTCCTTTCTGTCTGGGAAGGATTGTCCCCATATCTGTGGATCCCAGAAGCCACTGGAGAAGACTATGTTGTCAAATTTGACCGATAGTATGGCTGTTTTTTCTGGGCTTCAGAAACCTAGTGCTAAGGGGTCAGTTGATTTTAGAATTCCTCCTTTAGCTTCTCTTCCAGGCATAAGATTTAGGAAGGCTGACAGAATCAAGAAAGTGAATTGAAGTATGCTGTAGAAACCTACCCAGTTTCAAGAGCTCTACTCATTAAAGTAGTGCATCATTTGCAGGGAGGGGTTACAATGACTACTCTCCTGAGCATTATGAGAACATGTTTGCAAGACCCTCTGTTTATTCTTTTATTAAGCATGATGAAACTAATTCATTAGTATTAATGGAAGCTACTAATGAGCAGGATTAAGTTGCTGCTTTTGGGGGGGATCTTTTCCCCCTACCCCAGAGCCAGGATTCCCCATTGGAAACAATGGGAGAGGCTTGAAAGCCCATTCTTTAAAATTAAAACCCTTGGGACGCCACCCCTCCTGACAGACCAGCTAGCAAGCTGCCAAGCTGGTGTCCCTCCATGGGTTGTGCATGCCTGGAGTAGTGGGGAGGAGGAGGAGAGAAAGGGGAGGGTGCCGGGTGCCCCATCCCTTGCTTACGCACTTGGCCAGGTTGGTGGCAATTGGTTGCCCCCTTCTCAGGTCACAATTGACGTTAACCACAATTAAGCCAAAAAATGTGGGTTTGGGTTGTAGATCCAGAATGCGTACACAAATAAAAGGATAGTGTAGAGGGCAGGGACACAGTATACAAAGTTAACCTTAAAGGCTCGACTGCTTGGATTCTCCAGAGTAAGCTACAGTGAGCTGTTAGTGCATAAACTCCCAGTGTGGGAGAGCCACGATTGCCCTGTATTCGTAGGGATTGTTTTCTCCTGTATTGGACCCAGGGTTAGCTAGTGATGCTTCATTGCTTTGTGTACCCTCCTCTCCCCAATTCCTGATTGCATATACATACGTGCACATTATATGTTACAATTTTGTTTTTAAATGATTTGTAAAGCTAGGAATAAATATGAACAGTAAGAGAGCAGTATCTTAGTTATGTTTGAAAATATAGGGTATGCAATACAAGCTACTTTGTAATCTTTGTGTAGCAAAATATCATGTACTCTCTATCTAAGAAGCTATGGAGTAGGGATGGATGAATTTCTGTAAAATTAAATTACAGTTAACCTTTTAAAAACTCTTTTATAGGATGGTCTGAATTCTTTGGTTCTTGACCTGGATTATCCAGCACTGAGGAAAAACAAGAACATAGACAACTTCTTAAATAGATGTAAGTTTCATTTGCATACTGTCCCTGTCCAATGTTACTGAATAATTAGAGTTGTTACATATTACTTAATTTTCCACATTGCCTATCTGAAAAAGCCAGACTAATTTCAAAAGAGGGACTTTTATTTTCATGATATTTGACAAAGGAAGCTGTCAGTATGTGGTTGTTATGTATTGCATTACATTATTCAAGACTTTAGAATAATAATGGTCCTGGTCACACGCAGAAGTTGCTGCGGGAGAGCCACGATTGCCAGGCGGATTATACGGGCGCAATCACACAGAAACATCTGGTAAGTGTCGTGCACCCGTCGCCAACCAGTATCGTCCGGCTGAAGATGTGGAGTTTAAAAGTACCTGGGAAAATCCACTATCAACCGGTTGCGACAGTCTGCAGACGGACACTCTCCGTGTGATCGCTCCAGCACGCTCCTCTTGCGTCCCTGCTTCCTGGTTGGAGTGCACCAGAAACACCCGCCAATGGAAACAATGCCGTCACATCTGATCGCATTGGGGGCATGTCAAATTGCCACGGCATAAATAGCCACACCTCCCCCCGGTGTTATCTGGCCCGTGTGACCGGGACCAATATTATTCTGTTTTCTATGCAATTATAGCAGTAACTCAAACGTCAAATCCTTTGTGCTGCTAATTTCAGTACCACATAGTACCTGAGGTTCTGTTCTATATTATATAGAGAACTTATTTATTTGACATACCAAACTTCTTCTAAAGATAACTGTTTTATTAAGAGCTCTGACCAGTAGATATCTAAAAATGTTTATTGATGTCAGTGGATCACTAAGAGAAGAAGAGTTGGTTTTTATACCCTGTTTTTCTCTACCTTAAGGAGTCACAAAGCGGCTTCCCTTCCTCTCCCCACAACAGGCGCTTTGTGAGGCAGGTCGGGCTGAGAGAGTTTTGAGAGAACTGTGAGTGGCCCAAGGTCACCCAGCAAGCTTCATGTGGAGGAGTGCGGAATCAAACACGGTTCTCCAGATTAGGGTCAGCTACTCTTAATCGCTACATCACACTGGCACAAATGAGAGCACACGTGGAAGACCTGTGAGAACTGAGAAATTTCCCCCTAGCATGAATCATCTCTGCCGGGACACTATAGTGGGATTTACTGATCTGCTAGTGGAAGGTGCTTATGGTCACAGATCTTTCCCACATTCACTTCTTCCCAGCACTCCCAACTGTAGAAGAATTTATTCCTGGGGTTGCAGGAATCACTTGCAACATGGATGGGAAAGCTGCCATGGAGAGGGGGGAGGGTACAAAATTGCCATTTCTGTCTTTTCTGTCAGTGCAGCTCCACTGGCAGAAGAGGGGAAGATAGGATAATTTCCTTCCCTTTCCTCTCCCAACAGCAGCTTTTAGACCTGCATGGCTCTTAGTCCACGCGGGTTCCACAACACCAGGAATAAATTTTCCCAAAGTTAGACATGCTGAAGGGAGGAGAATGCAGAAAAGATCTGTGAATGCCAGGATCATGGATCACTGGACCCAACCCTGTAAGTCTTAGGAACTCGAGAAGAATAAAGTTTCCATATCCTGATCTTATGCTATATAAATAACACATAGATAACAAATGCTTAATATGTATTATACAAGTGGGGTGTGCTGTTTCTACATTTTGGCTTTTAATTTTTGTTTGAGCTGTGAAAAGATGAGAAATAATGCAGTGTATTGGTTAGAGCGTTGGACTAGGATCTGGGAGACGTGTTTGAATTTCGATGCTACCATGGAAACCTGCTGGGTCAGCTTAAGCAAGTCGCATAGAGTTGTTGTGAGGATAAAATGATGGAGATAACAATGATCTCAGTCACTTAGGGTCTCCATTTGAGAGAGAGGCTGGGTATAGATTAAATTAATAAACCATTTTAAGAAAATGTAATTGTTTCTGAAAATATAGATAGATGACCCAGTTAGGGTTCCCAGGTTCTATTTTCCTCCCAGTGCTGGGATTCGGGGAGGCATGCCAGGAGGGGGAGGGGCCACCCCAACGCGATGATGTCACATAGACGGCAGGCATGCAGCACCATGCGCGCATGTTACCCGCTTTCATCCAACTATTTAAAGGGAACCTTCCCTTTAAATGGTTGGGGGAAAGTGAGGACCGCCTTTTCTGCCTGCAAGGCAGGCATGAGTGGCCCCTGCTTCAAAAGAGCAGGCACCTCTTGCAGCTGCCCTGCAAGCCATGAGATCGACGCTTGCAGGGCAAGCAGGAGTGGCTCCCATTTCAGAAGAACTGGCACTGCTCACGCCTGCCCTGCAAGCCACAAGATCACCGCTTGTAGGGCAAGCATGTGTGGTACCTGCTCTTTTGAAGCGGGAGCCGCTCACACTTGCCCTGCAAGTTGCAATCTTGCTGCTTGTAGGGCTGACATTGGTGGCCCCTGCTTTAAAAGAGTGGGCACTTCTCACGCCTGCCCTGCGAGCATCGATCTTGCAGCTTGCGGGGCAGGTGCGAGTGGCCCCGCCAACAACTTTTGTGTGTGCGGCCCCTGGCTCTTCCAAACAGCATCCCTTTATTTATTTTATTTATTTATTTATTTATTTATTTAATTTTTATCCCGCCCTCCCGCCGTTGGGAAGAGGTGGGGGGAGGCTGCACATGTCTGCACTCCAGAGTGCAGGCATGCATGCCCATCTCTCTTCCTCCCTCCTGCAAGATTTAAAGGGCAACTGGAGGGCCCTTTAAATCTTATAGTCGGGGATTGCCGGGTGGTTGGTCTTGAGGGCGGAGCTTCCCACCACCAGCCAGCTGGCTGGTGGTGGAAAGGAGCCCCCCAAATTGGGAAACCGCCATGGGATTGTGGGGTCTGACAACCCTAGACCCAATATATGACCATGCCTTGTACACATTGTAATGGAATTCTTTAAATTTGTTTTAGTTGAGAAAATTGTGGAAAAAATTCGAGCTTTGCAAATGAAAGCTGAAGACTATGATGTTGTTAAAGTGATTGGAAGAGGAGCATTTGGAGAAGTACAGTTGGTAAGAATCAGAATCGCAATAAGACCACTGAACTTACATTTCAGTGGTAGTAAATTTTCACATGAATAAATTTTAAATTTTCGTTTTATGTTTTTAATGTATTTTATCCTGTGTGTTTTATCTATGTTCGTAAGCCTTCTTGAGCTTCATAAGGAAGAAAGGTGGCTAATAAATGTTTTAAATAAATGTCTGTGGTACTTCGGAATAATGACAACTTTAACTTGTATCAAACACATTGCATGCAACATTCAGAAAATGCATGTTGTACATATGCAGATCTATCATAAAACACGGTTTCCCTTGCCAAAAATTTTTTTGCCTCTTAATAGTCTCAGGCTGTGTTTACGCACAAAAAGTAATCCACTTTCAAACCACTTTCAGTGTACTTTCCAACTGGGTTTTACTGTGTGAACTGGCAAAATCCAGTTGGAAACTGCACTGAAAGTGGATTATTTAGTGTGTGTGAATGCAGCCTCAGTTTTTTCTTTATTCAGTCTTCCAAAAGGGCAAGTGGCTTGACTTTTTACCCTCCTTAGATGTCTTGGTGGTTAGTTCCCCTCGAAAGTTTGTGCTGCTTGAAGAATGACAAAATGTGAGCATGAAAGGGAAGTTGAAAGACAATTACTATGACTGATAAAAACTTGTATGTCTTTGATCAATCTCGCTAAATGTGTACAGGAAAAAAATAGTTGTTCACAAAGAAAAATATTCTTTGGCTTGATTCCACACAGCTTTTATGACTCAGTCAAACTTAGTCCCCTTCTTTACTGTAGCCTATATCCCCACAGTCTCTGTCTCCACATAACTTTTGTACATGCAGGTCTTCTGATCTCCAGCATAGCCCTTTTCACCATCAGAAAAGCTGGTGGAATCTAGCCTTTTGTTTTTAGATAGTGTGCTCATGTGCCACAGCAGTTACCACCTTTAAAAAAACTTCAGTTTAAAAATTAATAGATCGAAAAAAATGTACTGCCCAATTAGTCAGGTGCATCTTTTACATCAAGACTGCAAATTAACTAAATGTCATTGCCTTAGTAATCAATAATATTTAAGTGGTCTTGAATACCTTTTCTAATTCCTACTCTAAAAGATTTATTTATTTATTTATTATTAATTTGATTCAAGGCGTACAACAAGTTAAAGTACAATAAAACACAGATGCAAAAATGCAACACTATAACATTTCGCATAAACAATGATATACATAAAAGATTAATCTTATTGTAAATTAACAAAGATGTCCCTGTGCATATACCTTCAGATTCTCATCAGCCACAGATCACACTCAGTTCAGCAGAGGAGGTATCTTTGTGTTGCCCACACATTGCCTGCCATCCCTAGAGGGCCTGCAACCATGTTTATGGCTCTTTTACCGCATCCAGTCAACAACTATAGAATGCTTTCTGAAAATCTGGGATTATGGAGGATTGGGAGTTACAGTAATGGAAAAGGAGAGAGGTGGAGAATAAAAACGTCTTGTAGATTGTATGAAAATTGAGCTGGGGGGGGGAGGTGTTCAGGATTTAAAATGGAATTTAATCTCAATTGTCCCAAGGAGAAACATTGGTAGCAAAATGGAAGAAAGGTGCGGGGTTGGAAAAAAAGTTATCTGGATTTCTACAAACCCCCACATTGTGTTGATTGCTATGGCTACTAGCTCTGATCTCTTCAATCACATATAAAACACCAAACCTGGGTATGATACTGAAGAATCAAGCCTCATACCCATGTGCTTGCTTTTCACTCTTCTTCTGACTTCTCATTTCCCCCTTGTGTGCTGTGATTCCTTCTGTGGTTTCCAGTTCCAATTCAGGAGATGGGAACAAAACCATAATTTGCTAGTTTAGACATAGCGGCAAGCCAGAGTTACTGGGAAACAGAAAGGGAGGAAATTGTGGAAGAGGAGGAAGTGTTCGTAGTACACTTCCAGACTATGATTTGGCATTGCATCTAGTCTGACTTTTTGCTGTATTAGGCTGATTATTTGTTGGTTATTTTTGTGTTAGGATAGAAGAGTGTGCTATAAAAATAATATTCTTCTTCTTTATGATTGAGAACATTTTAGCCCACCTTTCTTTGAAACCAGGCTCAATGTAGGTTAAAAAGGAAGATTTAGGATAGGATAACAAATTTGAGTCCAGTGGCACCTTTAAGACCAACAACGGTTTAGTCTAGGTATGAGCTTTTGTGTGCATGCACACTTTTTCAAATACATTGGAACAGAAGATAAGAGTTCAGACTTAAAGACAGAGGCTGAACAGCAAATTAACATGTAACATGATGAAGATGCTTTAAGATATGCAAAGATAAAACTAAATAACAAGGACAGGATGGTTCGATTAACACTTAGACAAGACTCTGGAAGATCTCCCCAGCTTTTTTAAAACGCTAAACAAGAGCCACATCCTGTCCTCATTCAGATTGGGGTCTGTGAAAGGATGGGAGTGTGCATTTGTATTTATTTTTCTTTCCAAGACTATAGCATGGAGACTAATAGCGCAACAAGAGCCAGTGTGGTGTAGTGGTTATGAGTGGCAGAGTCTATTTCCCACTTCTCCACATGCAGCCTTGGGGCAGTCATAGTACTGTCAGAACTCTCTCAGCCCCACCTATCTGTCTGTTGTGGAGAGGGGAAAGGAAGGTGATCGTAAGCCACTTTGAAACTCCTTAAGGTAAAGAAAAGCAGGATATAAAGCCCAACTCCTTCTTCTCTTTCTTCATTGTCATCTTCTTCATCATAATCAGTTTCTGTAGGTAAAATTGTGCTCCCCCCCCCCATACCCCGAGTCTGAATCAGGGCATTCCACAGTTGCAGTTTAACTTTTTTAAAGAAATGGGAACGAATCAATTGTGGGATCTCCCAGCATCTTGTCTACTTCAAGTTCCACAGACACTTAGTGGGATACCAGAGAAAACACCGATTCGGGACTGACTTGGTTATGTCTGGTAGCTTGTCCATTAGAATGTGTTGCTTTTAGATCTACCTTGTGATCACTTGGTTTCTGCATTTGTATAGTTTTGTAGATCCCCAGTACTGTTTCTTGAGAGTGTAGGGCTTTTAGATCAGCTGGGAAGCTTTTTGCTTAGATAGAATCAATTATCTGGGTTCAGTTTTTGTTACTGATGGAAGTAGTTTCAGACTAGCATGTTATTCTTACTGAAGACAAAAATGCAAGAGAATCCTTTAAACACCATAAGAACATAAGAGAAGCCAATGTTGGATAAGGCCAATAGCCAATCCAGTCCAACACTCTGTCACACAGTGGCCAAAAATACCAGGTGCCATCAGGAGGTCTACCAGTGGGGCCAGGACCCCAGAAGCCCTTTCACTGTTGCCCCCCCCCCCAAAGCACCAACAATACAGAGCATCACTTCCCCCAGACCGAGAGTTCCTATCTATACCTTGTGGCTAATAGCCACTGATGGACCTCTGCTCCATATGTTTATCCAGTTCCCTCTTGAAGCCGTCCATGCTTGTAGATGCCACCACCGCCTGTGGCAGTGAATTCCATGTGTTAATCACTCCTTGGGTGAAGAAGTACTTCCTTTTATGTGTTCTAACCCGACCGCTCAGCAATTTCATTGAGTGTCCACAAGTTCTTGTATTATGAGAAAAGGAGAAAACGCCTTCTTTACCTGCTCTATCCTATGCATAATCTTGTAAACCCCTATCATGTCAGCCCTCAGTCGTTTCTCCAAGCTACAAAGCCCCAAGCGCTTTAACCTTTCTTCATAGGGAAAGTGTTCCAACCCATTTATCATTCTCGTTGCCCTTATCTGCACTTTTTCCAATGCTATAATATCCTTTTTAAGGTGTGGTGACCAGAACTGTACACAGTATTCCAAATGAGGCCACACCATCAATTTATACAGGGACATTATGATACTGGCTGATTTGCTTTCAGTTCCCTTCCTAATAATCCCCAACATAGCGTTGGCCTTTTTATTGCCGTCACACACTGGGTTGACATTTTCAGAGAGTTATCTACCACGACTCTAAGATCTCTCTCTTGGTCAGTCTCTGCCAGTTTGGACCCCATCAACGTGTATTTATAGTGAGGATTTTTGGCTCCAATGTGCATTACTTTGCACTTGCCCACATTGAACCTCATTTGCCACGCTGACGCTCGCTCGCTTAAGCCTCAACAGATCCCTCTGGAGCGCCTCACAGTCTTCTCTGGTTCTCACAACCCTGAACAACTTAGTGCTATCCACAAACTTAGTAACTTTACTTCTTACTCCCAACTCCAAATCATTAATGAACAAGTTAAAAAGCACTGAACCCAGAACTGAGCCCTGTGGTACCCCACTGATTACCAACTTCCACTGTAAAAACTGCCCATTTATATTCACTCTCTGTTTCCTGTTAATTGACTAGTTTTTAATCCACAAGGGGACTTGTCCCCTTATCCTATGACTGCTGAGTTTACTAAGCAGTCTTTGAGGAGGAAATTTATCAAAAGCTTTCTGGAAATCTAGATAAGCAGCATCTATTGGGTCCCCTTGTTCACGTGTTTGTTCGCCCCCTCAAAGAACACTAACAGGTTAGTGAGACAAGATATTACCTTACAGAACCCATTCTGAGTCTTCCTCAATAGTTTTTGTTCATCAGTGTGCCTACTAATTCTCTCCTTAGTAACAGTTTCCACTAACTTACCCACTCTTGACATCAGACAGACTGGCCTGTAATTTCCCGAATCTCCTCTGGAATCCTTTTTAAAGATGGGGGTTACATTTGCTACCTTCCAGTCCTCAGAAATGGAGGTAGATTTTAATGAAAGATTACATATTTTTGTCAGGAGATCCAAAAGTTCACATTCACTGGGTCTGGTGATTTATCAGTTTTTAAGTTGTCTGTCAGTCGTAGGACCTCCTCTCTAGTCACCTCAATCTGACTTAGGTCTTTCAACACCCCTCTGGAAATCAGCGGTTCTGGTGTGGGCAAGCACTTCTCATCTTCCACAGTGAAGACAGAGGCAAAAAATGCATTCAGCTTCTCAGCCATTTCCCTGTCATCATTCAGTAATCCTTTTACCCTTTGGCAGGGGTCGTTTCGTAGAAAAAGAGCTAGGGGAACTCATTAGCATAACTCATTAGCATATGCCACACACCCCGACATCACCGGAAGTGTGTCATAAGGCCACACACCCTGCCCCCAATGGTCCCGGACGCCGCCGGCAGCTTTGCAGCTCCACTGCTGAGCCCCATGAGGGGCCCGGCGGTGGACCTGCAAGGCCGGCGGGAGTGCAAGGAAGCCCCGTGAAGGCCCTCCCTGGCCCCAGGCAGGCAGGGGTGGGGAGAGGCAGGGAGGAAGCAACTTACCCTCCCTCTTCTCCTGCCTCCTCCTGGCTGAATGAGGGCCGGAAGCGGGGCGGCCGGAAGCAGGGGGCGGGGCTTCATCATGTGCCCCGCCCCCTGTACCTCACCCAGGGGAACTGTGTTCCCCCGCGATCCCCCCCGAAATGACCCCTGCCCTTTGGTCATCCAAGGGCCCCACTGCCTCCCTGGCTGGTTTCCTGCTTCTAATGTATTTGAAGAAATTTTTATTGTTGGTCTTTGTTTTTTGCAATATGTTTTCCCTTTTTGCTTGCCTGATCACAGTCTTGAATTTTATTTGTCACAGCCTGTATTCCCTTTTATCAACCTCACTGAGACTACTTTTCCACCACTTATTTTTTTATTTTATTTTATTAATTCAATTTATACCCCACCCTCCCCGCTTCTATTACTTTGTTTGTTAACCATGCAGGCCTTTTTCTATACCTATTTGTGCCTTTTCTTGTGTTGGTGTTTTATAAAGTCTTTATAAACTTCAAAAAAATTTCTTCATTCACAGGTTCGCCATAAAACAACACAGAAGGTTTATGCAATGAAACTTCTTAGTAAATTTGAAATGATCAAAAGATCAGATTCGGCCTTTTTCTGGGAAGAGAGAGATATAATGGCGTTTGCCAACAGTCCATGGGTAGTTCAGGTATGGATGATTTTTTAATGTTTATAATTATTTTGCTCTTTTGAAGAAGCATTAAAACTAGTGTAGTATATTATCCTTTGTAATAGTGTTAACTGAAGGATTTCTGCTAGTTTGGAATCCAGTTTGGCTTTTTGGCTTTTTCCTTATTAAGCTGAACTTGTAATGGCTTTGGGCCACCACTAATTTGCACCTGCAGAACACAGCTTCCTCACCTTCCCCCTAGTTTGGCTAGTATGGCTTTTTCCTTATTAAGCTGAACTTGTAATGGCTTTGGGCCACCACTAATTTGCACCTGCAGAACACAGCTTCCTCACCTTCCCCCTCCTGCTGCAGCCTCAAATGCCCTCTGAAATGGTGCCCCCAAGACCAGCAGAGGGGAGATTGTCTCATGAGGGGGGAGTCAGAAGTCTTCAGTGGGAGGCGGGAGACAATGAAAGTAACCTCCATCTTCAGAAATCTTCCAGGCCAATATGTGGTTCCTTCAGATACATTTCCTTGTTGTAAGTCAGTTACTGTGAAATGTATCTGTTTGCTGTGGTAGCAATATGTAGAACATTGAAAGCAGTGCAGTACTAATAAGTAAGCTTTGTGTATGCTGCTGCTTTGGAGTTTGCCCCATATTTTCTTCTGTAGTGCATAATACTAGTCTTAAAAATAGCTGGCTGTATCTCAGGAAGTTGTATGAAAATGGTAATGCCTTCAAAACTGGAAACAGCATAGTCAGCAAACTATGCTGTGAATCGTTATTTGGGTTATTTTAAAATCAAAATAAATGAATTATGCTCACATGCCAGTAACATGTACAGTTCTTGTTATAATTAATTTTACAGATCCAGGATGATTAAATTATTTCCAAGTGTGTTCAAAATGCATGCAACCCATGGGGAGAATGTACAATCAGGAAGCAATGGTTATGTTCGGTGTTAGCAAGAACTCCCTGAGGGCTCTTTACATATCTTTCATTTACTATTTCAACAGCAGCTTGCTTTAAGTCAGGAGCTAGTGCAATCCACAGCCCATTCAGGACCCATCTCTTAGGCTGGTCTTGTAAAAACACATGCTTTCTGGCATTCACTTTTTATTTTTCTGTTACACTGTGAGATGAGTTCTCCAGTCATCCCAGGAGTGGGTCAGTCCTTACTCTTGGGTTAGGCTCCTCCTTTCCGGAAGCAGGGTCGAGCAGCTGAATTCGATCCTGGAGGGGAGGGGCTTGCCTGGGAAATGTCAGTCTTCTCAGCCCTCCTTCTGAAGCAGGATGTCCACGGCAGCACTCCAGTGAGCACAGTGAGCCCCAGAAGACAAAGAAGAAAGAAGCTGGGCATTTGGTTGGAAGGCTGAAGAAAGCTTGCAGGGGAAGGAAAGGGTTAATCACTCTCCCTTCTTTTTTCCACCATGCTTCATAGGAGTGGTGGCGAGCAAGGCCAACAGTGCTTGGGTCTCCCAAGGGCCAAGGCACAGATGCAGATTCCCATAATGGTCTCCAGCCTTTGGGCCGGGAGCACCCCCCCCGCCGCCATTATGAGGGCGTGGTAGAGTCAGCAGCAGCCGACCCAGGAGCATTGGCCTCTGTTGCGGGAAGGCTTCCACAGGCCTGGAAGGAGCTAGCTCCACCGGATCATCGAAGGAGCAGCTCCATTGCATCGACCCCGTCTGAACCCAGCCCATGGATGGGGAGGGTAGACCCCTGCCAGCCTTGGGAACAGAGGGGCAGAGTTCTGCTCAGTCCCCTCAAGCACCTGCTGGAAGGTAGCCATTTTGTTTTCCCTTGCTTGCCCACAGGAGGGCCTACTTTCACTTTTCTCTTGGCGTGAAGAGTTGTGTTTTGGCAGGAAAATGGCAATGAAGGCGGTTCTATCCACCTCCCTAGGACTACAGAGTGTGGTATTTGAATTAGACCTCTCTAGCTCTTCAGTGTCAACCTCCATCCAGGCTTCTCACACAGGGGCCCCTCAGGCTGGGGAGGAAGAAAATGGCCAAGAGATGGATTTGTTGGGGGAAGATGCTAAAGCAAACCTCCTGTGGCAGCTCAGAACTGAACTGAGAAAGGAAATTAGAGAGGCCATACTGGTATCCAGTCAGAGCAGCAGCTCAGAGACAAGGCCCCCAGGCAGACAAGGGAGACAACATAGTAAGGAAACCTCCCATAGCAAAGGGCACAGGGACAGAATCTCTCTCCTACCCTCCCAGACCCCAAAAGCAAAAGATGGTACAGTCTAGTTATGATAGCAACTACAGTACTCCTTTAGGTTCTCAGTCTGAGGATTCAGAGAACTGGGATGACTCCTCCATCAAAGAGGAGGGGAAATTATCAGAAGAGGAGAAGGAAGTAGTAGTCACCACACAAACAAGGCTTTTTCCCTAGGACTTTTACTCTAAGCTACTACCAGTGGTCCTAAGGGTCCTGAAAATTGCTCCGAAGTCAAAAGGGAAGGAGGAACTGGACGCAGATTTTCCAGTGGGAGCAGAGAAAATGCTTCCTAAATTGGTGGTGGCACCTTCGAGAATCCCCCTCCTGGCTGCTTTTTATAACCTGGTGAAGGCTGAGTGGGAGGCACCATCAAATCCAAAAGCCAACCACCCTATTTTCTCGAATTAAACTACCGTTAGTGGATGATCCAGTGACTAGATGAGCCTCCAACTCTGTTTTGCCAATGGAGGCAGACGGTTTCCCCAAGGACCCATGCAACAAGAGGATCGAACAAGCCCTGTGTAGAGACTTTGAAGCCTTGGCTAATACTCTGAGAGCATTGATAACAGGCTCCTTGTTTGCAAAGGCTGCGTTCTCATGGGCTTTGGACCTGCGGGCGGCCAGCAGCAAGGTCCCTAAAGAGCTAAAAGACGAACTCAAGAAGCTTGCATTGGCAACAGCCTTGGCATCCGATGCGTCCCTGGATGCACTATAGATTTCAGCCAGATCCATGGCCTTCAGAGTGGCAGCAAGGTGGAACACCTGGCTTAGATGCTGGGATGTGGATCTCTTAGCCCAGGCCAAGGTGGCCGTAAGTACCCTTCAAGGGGATCAATCTCTTTGGTGAAGGTATGGACAGATACCTAGTAGAGGACAAGGATAAGAAAAAGTCCCTGCCTTCCATGAAGAAGGAAGGGAAGCCTAGAAAGTGTTTTAATCCTTTTGTGACTCCTCCTGCCTTCCGTGAAGAAGGAAGGGAATAGAAAGTGTTTTAATCCTTTTGTGACTCCAAGCTCTCTGCAGGCACAGGATACTCTCAAGTCCTTCAGAGGTAGATGGCAGCCCAAGCCATGAGAAGAGAACAGATCATTGCCATTCCATAAGTCCAACTAATTCACAAGGGGACCCAAGAAGGGAACTTCAGCGTGACTATGCTAATTCAGCAGACACCATAGGAATCGGAGAATGCCTACAGAAGTTTGCAAGTCATTGTCAACAGATAGTGCAAGACAAGTGGGTACTGGAGACAGTTATCAATGGGTACTCCCTGGAATTCAACTGCATTCCCCCAAGACATTTCCTTCAGATTCCAAAGAACCGATACATTCAAAAACACCATCTTCTGGAAATGGCCATTCATCATCTGTTGGAAATTAGAGCCATAGAACCAGTACTCAAAGGGCAAGAGACCCAGGGGGTCTATTCAGTTTTCTTTATAGTACCAAAAAAGAATGGAGATGTCAGGGCTACCCTGTATCTCAAATGGTTAAACAGATGCATCAGGACAAGGAAATTCAGGATGTAGACTCCCAAGTCCATCGTCGCAGTCGTACAGAAAGGGGACTTCATAGCCTCCATCGATCTTTCAGAGGCCTATCTGCACGTTTGGATCAGGGATATTCATCAGAATTTCTTGAATTCGCATACAACAGGAGGCACTTTCAATATTGGCCACTCCCCTTTGGCCTAAAATCATCCCCCATGGTGTTCACCAAAATCCTGGTGACCTTGGTAACTCACCTGCAGTTAAGGGGAGTGTCTCTGTTCCCGTAACTGGATGACATTTTGGTCAAGGCACCGTCTCTCCATCAAGGGTTGGAAGCATTGAACCATACAATGACTTGTCTCCAGGAACATGGCTTCGTGATCAACAAACAGAAGAGCAACCTCTATCCTACCCAGATGATTGTGCACCTAGGAGTGTCCATAGATATGATCTGGAACAGAGTCTTCCTGTCCCAGGAGAGACAGCAAAACATCCAAATATTGACAATGGAGATTTTGAAGGGGCCAAGAGTAGAAGCGATGATGCTGGCTCAACTCCTGAAGATGATGGTATCCTGTCAGGATGTACTGCAGTGGCCCAGATTTCATACCCACCCTCTTCAGAGATTTCTGCTATCTTTTCAGGAAGTAATAGCACACAGTCCCTGTGCTATCTTTTCAGGAAGTAATAGCACACAAGAGAACCAAACTAGTAACACTACCAGAGACCCTCAAGTAGGAGTTAGGTTGGTACCTGGAACTGGCCCACTTTCAAGTTGGCCTTCCACTCAGAGAACCAAAGAGAATGATGATTACCACAGATACGAGCCTCTCGGGTTGGGTAGCCCATGTCCATGGAAGTATGACTCAGGGCACCTGGTCAAGTGCAGAGACAACCAGCAGTATAAATCTGTTGGAACTCAGAGCCATCAGACTGGTCCTAATGGAATTCCAGGATCTCCTGTCCAATTGCCATGTCCTGGTGCAGATGGACAATATGATGGCCAAGGCCTATGTGAACAGACAAGGAAGGAACCTGGTTCAGGGTATTTCACGAGGAGGCGTGCATGATGATTCGGTGAGCAGAGAATCACCTCAAATCCCTAAAGGCAGTACATATAGCGGAGCAGGACAATGTCGGTGAACTGGTTGAGTAGCAGGACTCTGGACCAATCAGAATGAATGTTGAACAGAAAGATTTTTCAGCAATTGTGCCAGAGATTTGGCTCGCCAGGGGTGGATCTATTCACCAGCGATCAAAATTGTCAGATTCCAAAGTTCATGTCCAGGGCAAGAAACCCACGAGCAATAGGAGTGGATGCACTGAGTTGTGAGTGGCCTCGCCAGCTACTGTATGCTTTCCCCCGATTCAACTGCTGCACAGAGTGGTTCAGAAAATCATAGAACAACACACAGAAGTAATCCAGATAGCACACTTCTGGCCAAGAAGGGCATGGTTCCAAGACCTAATGAGGTGTCTGTGGCGGATCTCTGGCATCTTTCACCAAAAAGTGACCTTCTGTCACAAGGGTCAATAACACATCCTTGGCCAAACATGCTAAGCCTCACAGCTTGGAGGTTGAGCGCAGTCAGCTAGCAAAGATAGGGTATTCTGAAGGGGTCATTAAGACCATGTTAGCATCTAGGAAATGCTCTACAAATAGGGTTTGTAACACCACCTGGCAGGTATTCCAAGCATGGTGTCTCAGTCAGGATATGGCGCCCCCATCAGTGTCAGTTAGCAAGCTACTTTCTTTCCTCCAGACAGCTTAGAAAAGGGACTCAGCACCAGTACTCTCAAATGTCAGATGGTGGCCCTACCAGCCATTAGGGACACTAGGAAAGGGACATCCTTGATGCAGCATCCCCATCTTAAAAGGTTCTTAAAGGGAGCTGCCCTGCTGAATCCTCCACATGTTTATCGTTTTCCCACCTGGAACCTTAATCTAATGCCGAGGGTGTTGCCCAGGGAACTTTTCAAACCCATGGCTACCTGCCCCCTGAAGGAATTGACTTTTAAGGCCATATTCCTGGTGGGAATCACTTCAGCTAGGCAGGGATCAGAGCTGAGGGCATTATCAGTAGGTAGGGAACCTTGTGTGTTCCACAACGACAAGATAGTCTGATGTCCTGACCCAGTCTTTGTTCCGAAGGTCAACTCCACCTTAAATGGAACAGAGGAAATAGTATTGCCATCCTTCTGCCCTAATCCTAAACATGAGAAGGAGAAGAAGTAGCATTGCCTGGACGTACGTAGAGCCCTAAGCTTCTATTTGGATGAACTAAGCATTTTCGTAAATCTGACACTCTTTTTGTATCTTTTAGGAAAAAAGCACTGGGGCAGAGAGTCTCTACATCCACTTTGAGCTGGTGGATCAGGGGGTGTATAATTCTGACATATAAGGCCAAGGACCTGGAGGTGCCTCAAGGCATCACACTCTCTGAGGGGGGAGCGGCAACATTAGTAGCCTACAGATCCTTCCCATCGTTTGAGACGATGTGTAAGGTGGTCACTTGGAAAATAGTGCATTCTTTTACTAGGCATTTCAGAATTGACAAGATGGTATCTGCAGAGACAGCCTTCTGGAAAAAGGTGTTATAGCACACCCTCTAGGTCTTGAAGTTAATTACTCACCCTGGGTTAGACTGCTCTGTTACATCCCAAGAGTAAGGACTTACCCACTCCTGGGACCCATGGAGAATGGAAGGTTTGTCTTCATTTACCGTGAAGCTTCCTTCTCGGTGGTCCAGGAGTGGGTCTCAAATCTGAGATTTTTCTTGAGGCAGCTTCTAGGACCCTGGGGGGGGGGGGGTCTGCTGGAAAATTGTGTGTTGTTTCCCTCAGCAAATGAGTAAAGGGAAGGGACCTTAAGAGTTTTTCCACTGCCCAAGGGATGTATAGATAGTCAGTACTAAGTATTTAATGGAGTTGGTGTTATTGTTTTACATGCTATACTTCATTATGCATTCGGTCTGTTTGGAGGGGGAGTTTTTCTTTCTCTCTCCATATAATTTTTGTTGTGGGAGGTATGGCTTAGAGATGGACTGAAGTTTCCCGGGCAAGCCCCTCCCCTCTGGGATCAAATTCAGCTGCTCGACCCTGCTTCCAGAGAGGAGGACTGACCCACTCCTGGACTACCAAAAAGGAAGCTTCACGGTAAGTGAAGACAGATCTTCTGTTCTTAAGAAGGTAAACCCAAGGGAGTGGAATTTGGCTGCTTTCCCCTTCTGGCTGTGTGGATTTGCTGTCTTGTTTGCTGTTGTAGGGTTGCAGGTAGGAAGTTGGAAAGAATGTAGATGAGTGACATTTTAGCAGTGGTATAAAATCATCCCTTCCACATTTTTATCACAGTTTCCGCATGAGCTTCAGAGTTACAAGAATGGCAGTGCCTCTTAGTGGGCTGTGAATAGGTGTCATAATCTCTGTTTAATCCAGTTGTAGTTACTATCTCAGAACAAAATGCTTAACTGTATTTTCTACTGTAATATTTAGTGTTAGGTAAAAGATTGTCTTAATAATTGGAATGACAAGTTATCTAAACTGTTCTGGAACTCATGAAAACCCTTTAATATTCAGTATGTCTGTACAATTAAACACTGTACCATACCAAAACCATTCTAAAATTAAGACATGGGGAGGAGAAGCTTCTGTAGTGTTGTGATTTACTAGTGTATTGAAAGTTGAACAGTCTGGCAAACATCTTTACAAATGTCCATCCTTCTGGCTGCAGCTTTTTTGTGCCTTTCAAGATGACCGATACTTATATATGGTAATGGAGTACATGCCTGGTGGAGATCTTGTGAACCTTATGAGCAATTATGATGTGCCTGAAAAGTGGGCCAAATTTTATACAGCTGAAGTTGTCCTTGCTCTCAATGCGATTCACTCCTTGGGATTAATACACAGAGATGTGAAACCTGACAACATGCTTTTGGATAAATACGGACATTTGAAGCTGGCAGATTTTGGCACTTGTATGAAAATGGATGAAGTAAGTATCCAGTTCATTGTGTATTGTTCTAAAATAATTAGTAGTTTATTTAACTATGCCATATTTAATAAAGAGTAGAGTATAGTGGCTAGAGAACCAGGAAATACTTGTTTTAAATCTTACCTCTGCCCTGAGATCACTTGGTGGCTTCAGACAAGCCACGCAGTCTCATAGAATCATAGAATCAGAGAGTTGGAAGGAGCCATACAGGCCATCTAGTCCAACCCCCTGTTCAATGCAGGATCAGCCTAGAGCAGTGGTGGCGAACCTATGGCACGGGTGCCAGAGGCGGCACTCAGAGCCCTCTCAGTGGGCACGCGTGCCATCGCCCCAGCCAGGCCCAGACCGTCATTAAAGTGTGGAATTCTCTGCCAAATGATTTTAAGTAAATGAAAGCATTTGGGATTGCTTTCCTTACTTTGTTTGGATCATCTTATGAGTTGTTTTTTCTAAACTAAAACCTCAGTATTCAGGTTAAATTGCCGTGTTGGCACTTTGCGATAAATAAGTGGGTTTTGGGTTGCAGTTTGGGCACTCGGTCTCTAAAAGGTTCACCATCACTGGCCTAGAGCATCCCCGGCAAGTGTTTGTTCAGCCGCTGGTTAAAGACTCCCAGTGAGGGGGAGCTCACCACCTCCCTAGGCAGCTGATTCCACTGATGAACAACTCTTATGGTAAAAAGGCTACAGTAGCTACAGTATACTTTATGGGATTATTGGAAGGATTGCTGAATAATCTGTGAAATGCTTTTGATGCTCTCAGACCACAGACGTTAAATATTATTGGACTTTTGTTTCAGCAATGAGGTACTTGAATTAAAGTTTCATCTCAGTGTTCAAGATGCAGTTCTGTATTGCAAAGGCTAGCTTCACCTATTTTCAAAGGGGAGGAAAGAACATACAAATATTTATGATTTGTTATCTTGCCTTGAAGACTTAGAGAAAATGAAAGTTGGTGTATATATTGAGGTTGAAATTTTATGTGTCAGGTTTTGAACCAAACTCAAAGCCTCCCCCCCCCAAGAAACCCCCAAAAGATATAAAACATATTGTAATGAGGTACCTCCCTTGAGCTTTGTAAAGATCACAATAAAAAACCAAATTCCAAAAGCCAGTTTAACCCTCTCAGCTATTTTTGGTAGTGCTTGTTAGGAAGAGAGGCCTCTCAATCACTGTTCTTCACCAGTTATTATTAGCTTACACGATATTTTAGGCAGCATTAAGAGCGAATTAACGATATTTTTGGTAACGATCCAGAGAGCTGGGGAAGACTCATATAAGGGCTTGTGCTCACTCAGGCTATTCACTTATTTTTCCAATTGCTGCTTGTGGGGCTGCAAGTGTGCTTACTTATTATTTATTTATCAAATTTATATCCCGCTCCCTCTCCCCCAAGTGGGACTCAGGGTGGCTAGCAGCATATAAAATACACCCAATAAAAGCAATACAAAAGATACAATAAATAAACTTTAACATATACAATGATTTTTAAAATGTTAAGCTCTGAGTGGCTCCTAAATAGAACAGGAAGCCATGATCCTCTGTGTAGTCTGCACTGGACTAAAGTTCCAAGTTCAGGAGTACTTAAAACAAGAGGCTCTCCTGTTGTTCACTGAGGAGAAATTTGTAATTAAAAATTATTGCTTCGATGCATTAAAGAATTAACTAAATTAACTGCTGACGGTGAAAGATGAAGACAGGCTTTTAAGTCACAGTGAACCCTTTACCTGGCAGAATGGAGAAGTATTTGATTTCCTTTGCCACCTGAAACCAGGTTGCATTTGTTTTAATAATTCAATTTTACCACTTTTTGAAAATCTTTTGGTAGTGGGACCTAACATCTGACTAAATATTTATTTACTACATACAATTATTCTCATAGCATCCCCTAGTGGTCTTCCAATGTCTTACTTAAAAATTAGACCAATATAAATCAACCAGTCAGCTCTATGGAAATGTTCCTGTTGGAGCTCATTTTTACACTGTGGAAATATCCAGCATATTCTTGGTCATTCATATTTTTGTCACAACATCATGATGAGTTATGTTTCTACAGTTTCTAAAACGAGAAACTGTCATGAAAAGCTAGCACAAAAAAAGCATTTCCAAAAGTTGGAATGAATGCAGCTATGGGGGTTGAATGGGATAGCATGTTAATGACTAACTCATTTATAATTTTATTAGTAAGAGTTTTAGACCATGGGACAAGTGAAGGCAGTAGAGATTCATTTTTCATGGGAAGTGGTAGCAATAGATTGTCCACTTACAATTTTTACTGAGCACCACTTCCCTGGTGCATAAAACACAGTTGGCATTTTGCCTGACTGGGTGCCTTAGGTTGCCTGAGTGTCGCTGCCTCACACTGGCTGCTCATATTTAATTTTCAGTCCACCCATACCCCAAGATCTTATTCACACACACTGCTACTCATAAGTTTATCCCCCATCCAGTATGCATTTCCCTCATTTTTGTTACCCAGATGTAGAATTCGGCACTTTTCCTTGCATCTTGTTTACATCTGCCCACTTTTCCAGCGTGTTCAGATCTCGTTGGATTCTGTTTCTGTCTTCTGGTGTGTTCGCTGCTCCTCCCAATTTAGTGTCATCTGCAAATTTAATGAGTAGCCCTCCACACCCTCATCCAGATCATTTATAAAAATATTGAGAAGTACTGGGCCCAGAACCGAGCCCTCTGGCAGCCCACTGGACATCTCCCTCCATTCAGATGAAATGCCATTGACAACTACTCTGAGTACAGTTCTTCAGCCAGTTCCCTATCCACCTAACTTTCCTACAGTCCAGTCCACAGTACTTTAGTTTACCCATCATAACATCATGGGGAACCCTGTCAGAATCTTTACTGAAATCCAGGTAAACAACATCAGCAGCCTTCCCTCGATCCCAGTAAGCTTGTCACTCGATCAAAGAAGGAAATGAGGTTGGTCTGGCAGGAC